AAAAGCATGGGGTGGATTTTCTTCTTTGTAGACTGAAGTTCATTAGCAAAACGAATCGGTTACCTAACGTAACCTCGGTTCTCTCTAGATGAGGGAACGAGTATTGCGTAAGCTAGCTTACGCTACGGGAAAGATTCATCTTTGCTGAGAAGTTGAAGCCAAAAAATTATTCCATAATTTTGTAATCATTGTCAACGCAGTCTCTTCTGAGGCAGACCATGAGCGGGCTAGCTAGCGGCTCATTGGTTCGCTCAGAGAGAATGCACGAACCTATGGGAGAGCGGCGCTGAGTCCGCGGCCAATGAGCGGACGGCGCTCGCTCACTGCGTCACAGCCCGCCAAAAGGGGCGTGGCTACAGTGTATAAAGGTCGCTCTCCCAGCTCGTTCGTTGATTCTGTAGCATGAAGCGAAAACGCTGGTGGCGCAAGCACGGCCGGGAACGCAATACTCGTTCCCTCATCTAGAGAGAACCGAGGTTACGTTAGGTAACCGATTCGTTCTCTTACGAGAGGTTCTCTCGTATTGCGTAAGCTAGCTTACGCTACGGGAACACCTGGTCAACGCCGTGCGCGCTAAAGTAACCACTAAGCATCCCAGGGGAAACACCGGGGGAATCTAAAGTGGATGAAGATAATACGGCGGCCAGCATAGCGGCCGTTATCATCTAGTGCAAAACGCCCAAGGCGGCCGGCGAAGGCGGGCCGTGATGTGTAGGCTAATGCATAAGCACATAGGGGAACACAAGGGGTGAGCCGGTTGTGATGGAACTCCCGATAGTGCGGCTTCTATAGGAGGGCTGTGAGTACTAGACCGCCAGAATTTTAGCCTGTAAGGCTGGAACTTCCAAGTTATAAAACCTGACAAAAGTGGAGGGGGAGGCCCATCCCGCAGCCACACAATGTCATGGATGGAAATCCCGCAGGACCATGCCCACGACGAGGCCATGCCTCTGGTGGAATGAGCCCTGATGCCAGAGGGCGAGGCAGGTCTTTAGCGGCATAAGCAGAGGCAATCGCGTCTACTATCCACCTGGCTAGGGTCTGTTTCGAGGCGGCTAGTCCCTTGGTGCGGCCACCGAACGACACAAACAGCTGCTCCGAGCGTCTGAACGCGGCAACGCGT